AGGGGGGCCAGGCAGCCCCCTTCGGTCGCCCGGGTCGGATGGCCAGGGAGAGGGGGTTTATTTACACGTCCATAACCCAAGTCTGTAAAGTTTCTCCTCAGCGAGCGGCTGGGTTGATGTGTCCGTTTTTAGGGGGGCCAGGCAGCCCCCTTCGGTCGCCCGGGTCGGATGGCCAGGGAGAGGGGGTTTATTTACACGTCCATAACCCAAGTCTGTAAAGTTTCTCCTCAGCGAGCGGCTGGGTTGATGTGTCCGTTTTTATTAAAGTGCCTTGTAAAGGTAAAACACAGAAAAAATTATTCGGGAAAACTCTCGCAAACTGTATCAAAGCAAGGCGTCCCCCTTGGTGCAGAGCTCGCTGGCCCGCCGTAGTAATGCAGTGTCATCTCTGTCTTTTCTCATAGCGAGTCAGACGGCAACCCTAGCACAGAGGATGAATCCAGTAAAGGGCAGGAGGATTTATCTCCCCATCCGCTCTCCAGCTCATCCGACGGCGTTACCAGCCTCAGCCTTCCCGGCCACATGGAACCCGTCTACATGCAGCAGCTCGGAAACACTAAAATAGCCTTGAGCTCATCTGGTGTCTTGTTGAATGGAAACCTTGTGCCTGCCAGTACCTCTCCCGTCTTTCTCAATGGTAGCTCTTTTCTTCAGGGACCCAACGGTGTCATTCTCAATGGACTCAGCGTGGGGGCTTCGCAGACAGTTACCTTGAATTCACCCAAAACCACATCGAGTGTTGTAAGCAACGGGGTGTCCATTACTGACATACTGTCGTCTTCGTCAGAAGATGTTAAGGACTTCAAACTCCTTCAGGCTTCAGTCCCCAATGCCGCGGCAGCCACCTTTAGCCCCAGCAACATCCCGGTCTCATTCCCGGGATTGATACCGAGCTCAGAGGTGAAAAGGGAAAGCGTACAAACTGCAGCTTCCCAAGATGGAGGCTCCGTAGTTACTTTTACTGCTCCTGTCCAAATAAACCAGTATGGCATTGTCCAGATCCCCAATTCAGGAACAAATGGCCAGCTGCTGAACGGAAGCATCGGTTTTTCTTCTCTGCAGCTGCCTCCTGTTTCTGTGGCAGCTTCACAAGGTAAAAGTTTTGTCTGTTAACAGTAAGAGGTACAAGGAAAAGTTGGGATCGGGCAGACTTTGTGTTTTAGAAGCTGTGGTACTTTTCCTCTGAGGTACCAGCGTTGTATCTCAGTCACAGCCACATGCAGTACATCAAATAATACCTTTTGCCTTCCTTTATAACTGGTTATGCTCATGGCCAGACTGTTACATGAGGCTGAGCTCCTCTGCTAAGAGTAGAGAAGGAGGTCTGGTATTTTACACCCCTTTCATCTCATGCTGTTCTCAGAAGTCTGTGAGACTAGTCTTCACAAATATCTGTAAATTTTACACATATCAGTAATTCAAAATATTCCCCATTTGCCATTGAATTCTTTTAATGAGAAGGTTCATAAAAATGGAAATTGCGGCAGCTGGAAATTGTTACCGTTGTTGTTCTTGTGGTGGATGTTTTGTTTTTTTGTTTTTTTAACCAAAGCATTTCATAAAAATAAATTTTAAATTACTATAGACACAACAAGACCAAGCAGTTATGCTCGTACATTTTCTGTCCTATAATTAAGAAAGATTAAACTGCAGGGAAACAATAGAAATATGCAATAGCTCGTAGATATAAAACGTGAGGGTATTTGGATAAACTGCCCTCAGTCCAAGGGAAATATGTCATCGCAGGTTCACGTGCCAAGTGTGCAGGCTCCTCCCCAAGTTTGCTTTAGAGTTTGTCTTAACATACCGTAGACTGAAACTTGCGGCCAGCTGGGAAGAATCCCAGGGAGCACAAGCCTAGTTCTGGATCCTTGTTTTGAAGCAGGTCAGTTATAAAGCACAACTGAAGAGCTTTGTTACTCATTAGCCACTGTATCTCTGGTTATGAAAATGATTAAACTTGAATGAATCTTTCTAGTTTCAGGAGCCAGGAGTACTATAATGAAAATCAAACTGTGCTCATGTTAGCTTATTTGAATTAAGCATATAGGGTGTGAATTATTCTTGCTGTTAAATATGGGGAGGAACACTGAAGCTGTACAAACACATTCCACATGGGTGTAAAATTATAAGATCTTAAAACGTGGCACTTGCAGTCACTGGAAGTTAGTGGTACATAGTTTAACCAAGATGAAAAAGAGAAGACATTTAGTCTGAATACCACCTGTAATTACAAGAGCCATTTAATCCACATGCTCCAAGGCATAAACTGACAGCCAGCAAAGGCGAGAAGGTTCTGTCCCTTAAGCAGTGTGGGACTATTGTATTTGAAAGTCCTAAGATTCATAACATTTCCCCCATTGTTAAAAATACCAATTTCCAGTGCAGAGTGATCCGCCATATGTCTAGTCTGGTGCAGAGAAGAGTCAAGATCTGTATTTGCTGCTTTGATTTCTTTTTGTTTTTCTTAACACGAGAAGGATGGATAGCTGACTGCCTATTCCGAGTGAAGTGTGCTGCAGGCTATTTTAAGTAAGCTACTGTAAATGAGATCTTATTGCCAGGTAACTTCAAGTTGCCTCGCTTTATTCTTCTAGTTTACACGTATGAGTAACTTCTTCCAAAACATTGTCATTGATTAATGGAAATGAATAGGGAGCTAAAATATTCCCCAGGTGAGAAATGCATCTTCAGTGCTGTTATAAAAAAATTCAGGTGCCTCCAGCTGTAGCCTCTTAAAATGATAATTAAACTGCTTTTGAGAAAGAGGTGTTTGAAGTGGCATCCAGTCCTTAGAGCCAGTATATCTTATTTTAGGAATGATTATATGGCATGTCCAGTACAACCAACTTCAGGTTGCCTCTGGCCCCCGCTTCTTGCTCTGGCTAGCTACAACATCACGCAAGCGGTGCCGTGGCTTTCAGCGAGGGTAGGCAGTTGCTAGGTGACTTTACATGGTGTGGTGGATGTGGTAGGGTTAGGCTTTTAGAAATACGTGATAAAGCAAGGTGAAAGGCAATACATCGGAATGCTTGACGGACTACCTAGTTAACCTGGTAGAAGTTCCTGGTTTTTGATGTTTCTCTGCAGGTTGACTCTGCAGGTAGGTTCTGCTCAGCAGTAGTGGATTTCATGTGACGTGTCTCCAGTTTCCCACACACAAGCTGTAGTCTGTCACTGAACTATCTTTAATAGCTTTTCATGCTTCTATTCTTAGATAGAAATTGAGTGGTGGCAACTAGTGAAGGCCAAAGCACATTCATTTTAATCACATGGCCGGGGACTGTTTGCCCCTTAATGAGAGTCTGAAAGATACCTAATATACCAGAACCTTTTTTTTTCTCTCCTTTCTCTTTTCTTTCTTTCTAGAAGCAGTTTCTATTAACGGCTTTTATTTCTTCATACCAAATTTTCTCTCGCCTGTTACAAACAATGCTGTTTTGTGTTGCACGAAATATTAGTATATGTGTGTACTGCAAACATAAAAAAGACCAAAACATCTTAACAAAATGCCTACACAACTCTCTGCCAACTATAATCCGTGTTTTTCTTTCTTTTGCTTCCCTTTCTCTAGGTAATGTTTCAGTAAATCCCAGCACATCTGATGGAGGAACTTTTACGACTGAGTCTTCAACAGTGCAGCAAGGAAAGGTTTTCTTCAGCCCCCTCGCTCCGAGTGCAGTTGTTTATACGGTTCCCAATTCAGGCCAGGCAGTAGGCTCTGTCAAGCAAGAAGGACTGGAAAGAAGCCTTGTGTTTTCTCAGTTGATGCCAGTCGGTCAGAACACGCAACTAAATGTAAACATGTCTTCTGAAAATGCATCCAGCGGAGGACTCCAGTCCCTGGCCTCTTCATTAGTGAATGTAACACCCTCACATAATTTTTCTCTCACACCACCAACTCTTTTAAATGCTGCAGAACTGAACTCTGGTATCTCGGAGAGCCAGTCCATGTCATCGCCCGTGACCAGTACCTCTACCGTGATATCTATCAGCAACACTAACTATGCAACCCTTCAGAATTGTTCCCTCATTACCAGTCAAGATCTCTTGTCCATTTCTACAGCACAGCCTGCACTTGGAGAAATAGTTTCTACAAGCGGAGACCGTGTCAGCCACTCCTCTGCACAAGTACATCAAGATTTTGTCAGAGAGCACAGGTTAGTTCTGCAAGCTGTACCTGACGTCAAAGAGAATTTCTTACCTAATTCAGAGAGTAAGTCAACTGGCAATTTAATGATGCTGGATTCGAAATCCAAGTATGTTATGAGTAACATGGTTGACACAGTTTGTGAAGAACTGGAAACGGACAAAAAAGAACTTGCCAAACTGCAGACAGTTCAGATGGATGAAGATATGCAAGACTTGTAACTTTTTTTTTCTTGCTTTCTGTTTTAATAGATAAGTCTCCTGTCGAGGCCGTAATGAGCACCAAGTGTTGTTTTTTTTTTCGTTTGGTGGTTTTTTTTTTCATTTAAAGAAAACAGAAGAACATTTAAGTGGTCTGAATTGATGTACAGAGGAATCTCCGGCGATGGAATTAGGTTGCCACACTTGGTTTGCATGCAGTATTCTCTTTTAAGCAGATTAAAGGAGAAAGGAAAGGCCAGGGCAAGTACCGAGTGAATGGGTGCAGGTTTGGCTAAGAGATACTACCCTAATAATTTAACTAGACTCTCCATAGTTACAACATACTCTCAACAGTAAGTATACACTCCTGACTTTAGATAGAACACAAAAGTTCGCTCCGAAAAGGTAGAAACAATGCAGTCATTTTTGCTGTTTACTTCTAGTCCATGGGCATTGAGAAATTTTTAAGGAACTCTAGACGATACCTCACCGGCTACTTTTATGTTGTTTGAGGTTAAGAAACGAAACAAAATCATAAATAATGTTGTTACTGGTGTGTTTGCTTTTTTCCAGCAGACTTATGTTCAAACCAAAAATCTCACATCAAACATTTACAGGTTTCTAAATGCTACAGCTAGCATTTGTCAGTGCACCAGAAAAAACATCATTTGAAACTCTAATTATGCAACTCAGAAGCTTTCTCTCCAGTATGAATGTAAATATTGTTTCAGTTCTTATAGAGGAGACTTTTTTTAAATTAGTACAATGGATTTTATTTATGGTTTATGTTCCCTTTCACTTTAGACACAATGCATTGAAAAGGAAAACGTTTTCTGGCTGTTTTAATTTATTTTTATTGTTTGAGCAGGAAGTATACGTAGTTATTTCTGACAAGGTTTTCTTTTTTGTAGTTTTTCAAGCAATAGACTGTAAAAGTAAAATGTTAATCACACTGAAACTAGAAAATGAACTCCCAGTCTCACAAACCCAGGAGGTCCCTGTCTCTACCCCCTCTGTTTTTGTGTTCAGGGGTTTTTTGTTTGTTTTGTTAGTAATTTGCAAATTAGTTGAACCTTTTTGTGTATTTTTTACAGAATTCCACGTGCCTTTCTTCCTAGTGGCCTTATCTTTGTTACTAAAGCACAGTGGCAGGAGGAATAAAAACACTGATTTGCAAATATCCGTCCTCAGGGCCAAATCCTGATGCCTTACTTCTGCAGGTAGACCCGCTGACTTCGGTGCCCCTACTTGCATGAGTAAGAAGAGTTTTAAGTCTTTTGGTCATCGTGGGTGACATTTACTAGCGGTGCAGAGAGCCAAAGATAGGTCCTTCCATACCACGTCAGCAGGGCAGGAGGAGCCCAGAGAGCTGTCGTGCTGAGGTCTCGACGAGCCAACGGCTCGTGTCTTGGCTCCAGCCTCGGGCAGATGAGCAGGAAAGGTTGGATGGGCAGGCCAGGGAAGGGAGCCCCATGTTTACATGGACCCATTGGCCAAATAGCCCGTGGGAGGGCTTCAGCTGCTCAAGCAAGCAGGCCCCCATCCAGGAGTGCACTTAAAGGTGTATTTATATATCCTTCCAGAATAAGCAGTGTGGGGGCTGATGGTGGGAACTGCAGCTGCCCGAAGGGCTCGTGGGAGTAGCCATGGTCTCTGCCTGGCTGGAGATGGGTCTCCTCTCCCTTCGCCCCTTTGTGCTGTGCCGGGGACAGCAGAAGCGGGCGGGCTCTGGGCAGGTGGAACAGATCTTAACCTTTCCTCCAGAGGAGTTTTTGTAGCATGGAAAAGCACATCCTTAAGCTTTAAAATAATAATAAGAATGCAGATGTATAAAAATGACATGCTGTTAATCTTTGTGGTTTTGTTTTGTTAATTTTTATTCTAATGTGAATATATACAGTAACTAAAGCATGTATTCATCCTCATCAGGGGCCTGGTCCGAAGCCTTTGGAAGGCGATGGGAAATGTTTTCGTAAGCTTCTGTGGGCTTCGAATCAGGCTCAGGACAAAACAAGATCACTTGTAAAGGACAAAAAAATGGAAAGGAAAGAGAATAGATGTAGCACATCCCAGTCTGTTTCTGTCTTGGTTGTTAACTGGTTCTGTGGAAAGCCTTTGAGGAATGAAGGTTTTTTCTGTGCGCCGTGAGCATGGCATAGGCATCCTCACTATTGTTTTGCACTATATTGAATACAGCGTGTTTTGCAAGGTATTCTGTGGAACCTCAAAGCTGAGCTCTGTCGGTTAGCACTGGAGTCCACGCTGCGAGCCAGAGTCTCTAGGGCTGCAGGGAAAAAGTGCAGGGAAAGGGAAGAGCAAGTGTGCAAGGCATGCACTTTGCAGCTGTACCGAGTCACTGATGCTCTGCAAACAGAAGCAGCCCATAAGCAGTTGGCTGTCCCCACGTGCTTCCAAGCATAAAGGGTGTTTAAGGCAAGTGCTTTAAAGTGGAGATTATCACAAGCAGAATGTGGAGTTATATGTTCCCGTGGCATTGACATTCAGGGGATCTCCGCATGAGCAGGGAATCAGATAGTCCAGAGTTTTTCTCTCTGCTCTGCTTGTTTATCTGTTTGCTGGGCTCCAGCGTGAGCAATCTGCTTCCCACCTCTTCTGTGCCCGTAAAACCAAGATGATGATGATAACAACAGTAGCTGTATCTGCTTTGCGTGAATTTGTTCAACTGTTTGGAAAATCAGAAGGACCCTGTATCATTGTCACATTAATGGAGAATGTGTGCATGGCTCTGAAGGAATTGTCTGGGGCTTAACATTTCATCTGTGAAGCTCAGACTATATTTGGAGGCAAGCTAGAGAGTATTTCAGAGCACTCTCAGTTGTTGATGCGATCAGGTCTCATAACTGAAAAGACTCTGGTCTTACGCCAGTACCTGTTAGGTTTTTTTTAAAATTTTTCCTCCTTTGCATTTGTTGTGTTACTGAGGCTCTGAATTCCATGGCTTTGCAGCACAGTTGATGTGAAAACTCTATGTGTTGTTACAGTGGCGCGTATCTTGGAGTGTCTGGTACTTCTAATAGGAGACTTCCCACTCTTCAGTGGGAGCGGAGGATGTACATAAAAGCAGTGGTTTGGGACAAAGTAAGATTAATCTATTCTAGTCTTCCAGATATCAAGTAACTTATTTTATTATTATGTTTTACTCTTTCTTTCTCCCATTGAAAATAAGTGTCATTCCCTCCAGATAACGTAGTTATAACCTCATGTTTTCTGCAGGTACATATGCACAATATAAAGACTCATTGCACGGTACAGTGTTTTTAAAATAGATATTTAAATAGTAGTTTTACTCCTACTGTAAAATAAGGGTCAGTTTTTATTATGTGGCCCTCAAGCAAGCAGGCTAACTGCTCTAAATAGACAGTACACAAAGCCCCGAAAAGCGTCTAGGGCCGGATCTTCGGCTGCTGTAAATAAGGCATTGCTCCACTGAGGATTTTACACGGTGTTCAGGGCATATGGATGCTCATGTCCCACACACGTGAATGGCAGGGAGTGTCCAAGCCCCACAGACAGTCCTTATTATCACATTCTGTTGTTTAAATGGAAGGTATGTCTATCTGGCATACATGTTCCTTCTCCTCCCTCCCTCTCTGTTATGGATGAGAATAAAGGATCGTTTCAACTTCACATGTGTTTGTAACTTGTAAGTCCACTGGAAATCTTACAGGAAACATTGCCAAATTCTACTACTTTTCTGGTCCCAGACTCAGCTTTGAAAAATACGCTTAAAGTTTAAGCAAATTCCTACAAAGCATGATCTTAAAAAACCCTTTGTTCTTTACGACTTTTAATTAAAGCTGCCTCTGTTTTGCCCAGAGTTTTGCAGAGAACCAGAAATACGTTAAATTGAATGCTCTGTCTGGACTGTTTGCAGCATTATTCCTGTGGTCTTACCTAAAAGAACATTTCAGCCACATAAATCACGGACGTCTATCGGCCAGGTCCTCGGCTAAACTAGCACAGTTCTGTTGACTTCAATGTCCGTTCACACCAGCCGAGAATATGGTCCATTCATTTCACTGGAGTTGGATCAGGGACAGATTTGGCCCGGTATACGGTGGCAGTATGAACCAGTGCACAAGGCTGACACTCAGTTATAGCCGAACGGTCACAGTCTATCGAAGCATATACCTCTTTCCATTTACTGCTTTATCCTGCCTGTGGATTCAGGAAGACGCATTCAGAAAGCTACTTTACCCAGAAGTAAGGCTGGAAACATCTTTATTGTTATTACTATCAATCTGAGGTTAATGACAGTAATGGGCAAATTCTGACTTCAAGTCCTGCAAGATCACCTCAATAACTATTTTCTGTTAAATTAAGCAGGGCAGAATTTGGCCCCATGTGCACAGGAGCTTTTCCTGTCTGTAGGTTTCCACTGCCTGTGCAGTTTTCTTACCAAGGGCAGGTGAACAACCAAAAGAGTGCATCCCTTCAGTTTCGTATGAAATACGTGTGCAGGACTCCCGGGGGCATGAATTGCCTAGTGCTTGTGGTCGAGAACCATCTCAAATCACAAAAAGAAAGTAATTTTATAACTCTGGAAACAAAAGTACTGACATTTTACAAACAAGGAGACCTGAAGTCTTCCTGTATCTTCTAGCAGTTATTATCTTGAAGGATATTTTATACCTGACTTGTATGTTTCATATAATTTAAAACTAGCTTCTTACATTTCTGAACTCAAGGAGGGGGTGAATCTTCTGACTTTCAGGATTCACATTCAGAGGATGTTTGTTCTTTTGCTGCATGTACTGTTTGTCCAGAACTAACCAGTTATTTCTGCGATATGGGTTTATTGTGCCTTACAACAAATATGAAACTTAAGCGGAATGTACACATTAGAGGAGGGAATAATCAGAAGTCTTTACTGCACTGTTAGATGATGCCGCCCCAGAGTGTGTCATCAAACATATCTGTGCTTAATTACCCAACCAAAGAGATCTAAAGTATGTATGTTTGTTGTACTGTAATAGGGGTTTGTGCCTGGACAATTAAGT